CCCCCGGCACCGCCCGGCCCGGCCCGGCCCGGCCCGCTGGGGTGTAGCGCGGGGTTAGTCCCTTCCCCGGGGGAAGGCTGTTGTCGAGGCTGTTCCTGGGTGTCTCCGTGTCCGCCTTCTGCAGGCGCTTTCCTGCGAAGCTGGGACTACGGGAAAGAAAAGAACAGTAAATGGCTTTGGATCGTGGCTAGTGTTTCTCTGGTAGCTCCTCTCATCTAGCTACCCAAGGCACGCACTAAAAACAAGCTGCAGCATGAAATAACATGCAGAGGTGAGCTACAATATTTCAGCAAAAAATCTGGTTTTATGCAAAGTCCTTAAAGTCTCTCTCACATACACTTTATTATTATTATTTACTATCATTACACCAATATTAGTTACTAGGTCTGTGAGGAAAAGTCCAAGTAAATGTAATTCTGGCTAGACGTTTTGCTGATTGTGCCCGTCTTAAAGCAGAACTGTTCCTGTGCTGCACGTGCAAACACACCTCTTCTCATTTTTCTCCCAAGACAATAAAACCTAGGACTGAACTGATGAGCAAAATCACGGAACGGCCGTTTTCCTTGAGAGCGCTCAGCTTTGAGGGGATCATCTGTAAAACTCGAGGAAGTCTGAATGGCTCAAGTTTGATGAAACGGCTCTCTTGCCTTTCCATGTCCAAACACTTCCTTTCCCATGATTCCCAACACCTGACCACAAAAAAAGACTAGCAGCTAAAAGGTTATTTTACCCTAATTCATGTGCAGTAAAATGTATTTTCCAATTAACCAAATTTGCCGATTTGTCCCGCTTGGACACTCTTATAATTTATAATGTAAAAGTGTTCTTTCTTTATCTAAAGACCAAGGTGACTGCTTTTAATTTTCTGTAACCTCTTTACACTTGATGTTCACCAGACTCATAATGTTAATTGGCTTCATATACGGATCATCAGTTTAATGAAGGAATAAATCCTATGTTGCTTTATGTCCCTCTGTTTTAACAATGATTGCTTTAATGAAGAATGTGACGTGTTTGAAATCAAAGCTGCAGGAGACATTAGAAGGGGTTTTTTTTTATGGTGACTGAAATGCTTATTTAAAGCTAAAACCATGAGGTTTCCATATTTCAAAAGCTTTTCTTTAAATCATTTTCCATGGAAAATACTGACAAATTCTTCAGCTAAGAACTTTTTCTTTGTAATTGTGAGGAGAGACTGAGGATAACATAGTTTTATAATATAAACATCCCAATTAGGTTACAAAAATCTCTCTGAGCTGATTTTATACCACTGCAGTTTTCATTCAGAGTTTAAGTAAAACTCCTAGTGAGTTCAAAAGGAGTTATGCCTGCCTAAAGAAGGAGTATTTGCGGGTAACTAATACAACTCTTCGTCAACCTACTGTATTTTCATTGTTCACGTGTAGATGGAGAAAAGTATAGGGGAGAAAGAATTGTCAGTTCACACGCAAAAGCTCTGGATTGCTGTAATCTATTTCTCCCCGTGGGGATTTTAGGATTTCGGGAGCAAGGGTAAAACGTAATGAAACATGGGCTCGCAGAGGTAGGTGACTGCAAATCAGAGCATCAATTAGGCCAAGCTGGAAAGCAGCAATTAGACCCAACTGCATGTGCCGGTTACACCAGCTACAGCAGGTTTAAAATGTACAAAGCAAATGCATTCTGGTAATTGAACTTTTACGTTCCTGGTCCCACTTATAATGAAAGTAAGCCTTCTTATTTTTCTTTTTTTTTCTTTCTCTAATGGGGACTGCGTATACTGGATGTATTTTTTTCTCATTTGAGAGCTGCTGTCGGGACTGAAATTACACGATCCTTAGGTATGGGAACATGCAACACAGAAGAGGAAAGTCTCTAATCAAAGGCTGAGCAACCAATGGATTTGGACAGAAATTTCAGGGCATGGCAGAGGACGTGCTTGGGAGGGGAAGGATATTAGCTTAAATTACATACCACTGAGAAGTCAGGCAGTGTGCCACTCCTGATCCCATGACCCCTTGGGTTTATGTCCCCACAAGTATTATGCTCATTCAACCCAGGTCACACCAAGCTTCAAGCAGATACACATCTTCTCCCACCTCCGCCACACAGTGTTGTATCTAAGGGAACTACGCGTTTCCTTTCGGAGCTGACCAGGACTATAGTCCTATGGCCAGAACTGTATGAACACGCCGAAGACAGCCCATAAACCATACTTTGCCCTCCCTCTCCATGGAGCACAAGAAGGTACCCTGTGGCATCTCCAGTGGCACAGAGGATTAGTCTGCCAGGAGGCTTACTCAGTAGCAACAGCTCTCTACCTGTAGCTA